TTTCATGACAAATCGTGTGAAATTAATGATGCTTTTGGTGTTAAGCTTCTATCAGTTATGATGAATGATAGATGTTTTCTAGTAGATTGGAAAGAAACTAAAATTAAAGCTTGTACCAATGTTGTCGTTGATGAAACTAGTTTGTGGCATAACAGGTTAGGCCATTTTAATCATAGCTCCTTGAAAATGATGCATGGCAAGGGAATGACTTGTGATATGCCATTTGTTAAGGACTGCAGTGAGGTGTGTGAAGTTTGTCAGTTAAGGAAATTAAGCCAAGTTCCTTTTCCTACTGATCAAACTAAGAGAGCTATTGAGAAACTTCAATTGGTGCACAATGATTTATGTGGCTCTATGAAAATTTCATCTTTGAATGGAAGCAAGTATTTCTTGCTGTTTATAGATGATTTTAGCATGTATTGTTGGGTTTACTTCTTAGAAACAAAAATCAAAAGTGTTTGACATGTTTAAGATTTTCAAGGTTATGGTTGAAAATCAATGTGGTAAAACCATTAAAGCCTTTAAGGTCAGACAATGGCACTAAATATACCTCACATCAGTTTCAGGATTTTTTACAAAAATATGGAATTCATCACTAGCTCATTGTGCCGTATACACCACAGCAAAATGGTGTCAATGACAGGAAGAATAGATTAGTGATGAACCTGACAAGGTGTTTGTTGCTTGATAAGCATTTACCTAAGAAGTTTTGGGTTGAATCAGTGAATACCTCAGTTTATATTCTCAACAGACTGCCTACTAGGGTAGTTCAAAACAAAGCTCCCTATGAGGCCTGGTTTGATTTCAAGCCTTTTGTTAGCCATCTTAGAAATTTTGGGAGTGTTTGTTATACTCTAGTTCCTACAGCAAAGAGGGACAAGCTTGACCACAGAACTGATATTTGCATTTTTATTGGCTATAGTTCACATTCTAAGGCAAATAGAGTTTTCAATGTTAAAACTTAGAAAACTGAAGTTAGTAGGAGTGTGAAATTTGATGAGAAAGCTATATGGAACTGGGAGAAGTAGGAAGCGATTGAAGGTAGTGATGATTTGGATTTCTTTGTTTTTCCTGAACTTGGTCATAACAATGCAAAACATGTTAATAATGATTTAGTTGATGACCCTCCTGTGAGAGGTACTAGAACTCTTGATGATGTCAACAGGTGGAATTTGGTTGTTTTGGAGCTGTGTGATTACCAAGATGCTGAAAATTCAGAGGCATGGAGAAAAGCTATGTAAGAGGGGATCAACATGATTGTTAGGAATGGTACCTGGGAACTAGTTGATAGACCACAATACAAGTTTGTCCTTGGTGTCTGTTGCCTTATTGCGAAGGAGGAGTGTTGAAGTTAGCCATGACACTGAGGCCACAAACCGTCATTCTTGATAGTGGTACTAACCAGTGGAGTTAATACCGTACCGGCCGGTACGTACCGGTTTTGGTACTTGACTTAAACGGTATAACGTCAATTTTCGTTTCAGTCAAATTTCGAGCATTTCGATCAAAATTCGATGTACCGACTGGAATTTTGGTGTACCGACCGATTCACCGAAATTTCGGTCGGTACACATTGCAAAAAAAAAAAAAAAAAGAATTCCCCTAGCCCAAAACGATGTCGTTTTGGGCTAAGGGCTTTTCATAACCTGCAATACACAGAAGTCCGTACAACTCAATTCAAATTTGAAAGGGTAAATTTCATTTTTGATCCTCAACTTTAATGTCATATATAATTTTTATCTTTTAACTTTTTTATGTACTTTTGTAGTCCATTTTTCTTTTTTTTTTTTTTGTCTTTTTATCAATTATTTTGTTAAATTTATCTAAATATACACATTTTTATTCCCTTAATTTAAAGTGGATGGATGAAAAATATATAAATTAAAGTTGAGAGACTAAAAATGATCATTTTAAACTTATTTTTAATTTATAAGAATATCATAGTTTTAAATATTAGTATCTCTTATCTTATTTTAAAACTTGATATTTAATTTATAAAAATATATATTTATAGCGATAAATCCGAAACGGTACACGAAAAATTTCGATATCCGATACTACCGTTCCAGTAACAAAATCGGTACGCATACCGGTACGGTATTGACTACTTTGATACTAACATTAGTTTTTATTAGTTGTAATTACCAATTTGTTTTTAATGCAATGAGCAGTTGTTTCTATTCATGGTAGTTTCATGGTAGTTTCCTTTTGTCTTCAGCAGTTTCCTTTATTTCCATGTAAAAGGCAAAATTGTGAATGAAAAATTGTGTATGTGTTCTGCTCTCCTTCTCTAGTTTCCTCTCTTTTTTCCATGAAAGTTTACAACTAGCGTGGAAGGAAATCAACAAGAAAGTTGTAGGATCTTTGCTTTGATACGAACTAATATAGAGGGTATGCAAACAATGGGAAGAGCAAAGTGTAAGAGCAGGTCCGAGGTGCCCAACCTTGGACGGACGACAGTAATTCCTTTATAACTAGAGTAAAGGGTAAATCCAGAGCTTCCCGCTCGAATAGCTACACAGTTGTTACGATGGACATCCTTGCATCTAAATATATCTCAATCTCCCGGTCCCGAAATAACTGCTTGGAGATACACATCGAATCCCGAATATCTTGCTTGGCTCAATCTCCTGGTCCTGAAATAACTGCTTGGAGATACACATCGGATCCCGGATATTTTGCTGGGCGTCTTGTTTGGCATGCCTCGTGGATTCTCCATCGGAACATATAAATACCCCTTAAGGGCCACGCCAAAAGGTAATTGGAACCAACCCTAAGCTCCCTGTTTCTCCACTCTAAAGGTAGCCCCGATTATTGCTGACTTAAGCATCGGAGTGTCTACCCCGAGGATCCACCTCGGGGCTTTGCAGGTCAATTCAGAGTGCAGATACGGACTAAAAGAAGGACTTCTGGTTTGGTGCAGTTACACAAAGTGAATCTTAGAATTCAAGTTTTAAATTTCCAAATTCTTGTAGATCTTTTTAGGCAGCAGACTTTTCTGCATTGCCATGGTTTTAATGGTGAGTCCTGTGATTTATCTTCCATCCTTGATACGGTACAAGAATCGAAAAAAGCAAGATATGCCCCACTACAATATTCAGGGTGGGATTATAAGAAAAGATTCCATGACCGGAAATCCGGAATCATGTCCAAAGACAAATAGAGCCGAGAACATTGTACCCTGGGCGACCCAATAGACTGACCAAAAATTCCAATTATTGAAGTAGAGTGCAGTTGCTACCAATGTAAAAACAATAAGAACTTCCCTGAAACATAACTCACATGCCTCCATGAATTCTTGTTCCAGCAATGTTTGGGAATGGCAGCTCAAATCTCTGCTAGCTTGAAGGGTAGCGATGCACATGGGTCAAAATCTTCATGGGATCCATGGTTAAAAAGATTTTGACCCAAGTACATCCCCACCCTTCAAGATAGAAGAGATTCGAGCTACAATTCCCAAGCACTGCTGGATCAAGAATCCATGGAGCTATATGAGTTATGTTTTCAGGGATGTTCTTGTTTTTACATTGGCAGCAGTTACACTCTACTTCAATAATTGATATTTTTGGTCATTCTATTGGGTTGCCTAGGATACAATGTTCTGGGCTCTGTTTGTCCTCAGACATGATTGGGGTCATGGAAAATTTTCTTATAATCCCACCTTGAATGCCGTAGTAGGACATATTTTGCATTCTTCAATTCTCGTACCTTATCAAGGATGGAGGATAAGTACAGGGCTCACCATTAAAACCATGGAAATGCAGAAAAGGACTCGTCGTGGATTTCGCTGCCTGAAAAGATCTACGAGAGTTAGGAAATTTGAAACTTGAATACTAAGATTCACTCTGCCCCCCTTGTTTGCATACCCTCTACATTACAATTTTATAGTATTATGTCCTTGTTTCTGTATCATTAGAAATTTCCTGTTCTTGTAGACTATATTCATTGGTCATTGTGTATCCCTTCAATTTAGGCGAAGCTGAAAATATCAAGCCTCCTGCTAAATACAGGGCAGAACCTTACAATATCCATTGTCAGAGAGCATTGATTACACGGTTTAAGTCTTTAAAAATGAAGGTTCGCTACTCTTCTTCTCTAGCTGTTTCTTTTCTTGGTTGTCATGTTTTGAGGGAAGTAATTTTGCCAACAGACAGTAAAAGTAAAGTGGTCGGCTGAAGGGAAGCTTCCATGTTTTGATGCTTTTGCTGAAATTCAAGAACGTATTGGCTGTGGTCTGCGTCCATTTCCTTTGACTATTGATAGAATGTTTCAGACTTCTCAAGCCGTTTCTGCACGGATTTGGAATCTCATGCAGCTCGCATTGCTCAGATTATAGCCTTGAATTTACATCCAGTGAATTTCTATGCAATAGCTTCAAGATATCTGATTGAGTTATCTCGTCCTCATGAAAAGATTCTCTATTGTGCATGTCGCATATATGAATGGGTGATACTTCCTGATTTGTGGTTATCAACACACAATCTCAGAAGAAAGTTATTGCTGCAAATTTGATTACTTGAAAGAAGCAACATGCATAGAGAAACTACTAAAACTCTTAATAGAATTTGAATTTTTATCCTACTTAGAACTATAATTACTTGAAAGCAGAAATTCCTATTTCAACTAGGATTTAGAAGTTCCCAATTCAACTAAAGATTTAAAAGGAAAAAAAATATAAAATACTCATCAATAATAAACATTTCAAGAATATCTCTTAAACAATACTATAATAAAAGAACAGTAATATAAGAATAA